CTGAACCAAGTGAAACTTAGCATGGAATTGTGAACAAGCATGAAATTATACTCCCCAGAGCTTTTTTTTTTACTCCTTAAAAGGTTTGGAACATTTAACTGGAAGAATTGTCTTGAGTGGTAAACAAATAAACAGAATGATTTAGATATATCTATTCCTTCGGGACAGAAAAAAAAAATTGTACTAACAGTTAATTCTTTTTCTACTACAGTCCAGTTTACCACGTACCCTCTTTGTTTATTTCCCAGAAATTCTGAACTAATCTTTTCTTCTATGCTACCTTTGACAGTTTGCTTTCAGTGAGTTTCATGGCTAATAACATGATTCAGTGACTCTTTGAGTAGAGCTTGTCTGCTAATAAATACATCAAAAGTGGGTGTACTTTTCCTTTGTTGTTGTTGGATGCCGTCGAGCGTCGAGTTGGTTCCAACTCATACTGACCCTATAGGATAGCGTAGAACTGCCCCATAGGGTTTCCAAGGAGCTGCTGGTGGATTTGAACTGCAGACCTTTTGGTTACCAGCCGAGCTCTTAACCACTGCCCCACCAGGGCTCCCGGAGTTAAAAACCACTTAAATTATTGTGTGGAAAAAAATCACTCTTCTGGGTCCTATTTTGACTCTCATGCATAGAAATCCTGGCCCAAAACTCAGAGGGTCCTTCATCTTGTTTTGGGGTTAAACAGAGAAATTTTTTGTTTGTTTTTTGGTCGGATTTCTTGGTTGCAAAGGACAGAAGTCCATTTTGAACTAGCTTAAACAAGAAGAATATATACTAGAAAAATATACAGGGTATATCACTTAATAAAGGATTGACCGTCCAAACCATGGGAAGGGAAGGAATTGTGATGGATTCCAGAAAACCCAATCTGCAGCACTTACTAGGTCAATCTCTCTCTCTCTCCCTCCTTCTCTCTCTCCCTCTCCCCTGCTTTTCTGTGTGTATTAGCATTTCCCATTGCCGATTCCGACTCATAGCACCCTATAGGACAGAGTAGAACTGCCCCATAGAGTGAGTTCCCAAGGAGAGGCTGGTGGATTCGAACTGCCGACCTTTTGGTTAGCAGCCTGAGCTCTTAACCACTTCACCACCAGGGCTCCATATTAGCATTATTCTCTTCTGAATTTTCTTTCTTTCTCCAGTGACACATTGGAGAAATCTTGGGGAAAGCCTTGTTAGAGTCATCGCCAACTAGAGTTGGTCAACAGACGGTTGGAGATGCTGAACTGAATGGAAGCCACCAAAAGGGTCAGAAAAGGAGTGGCTGTGGTACTTGCTGGAGACACTGTAAATTAATGAAGAAGAGTTTTGTGTTGAATGTGGATAGGCAACCAGCACTTGGTCAAGAGGATAAAGCCATGATTCCTAAACTTTGTGCCAAGGCACCATGGGGCATCCCATTGAATTCACAGGGGCATTGTGGGATATTTTATATTTTTGAAGGAAAACAGAGAGACATCCATTGGACACTATATGAACTACTACTATTAAGTTGTTTAGACCCAAGTATTTAATAAATGGAACTCTTAGGCATTTCTTTTAGCCTAAGGATGTCACAAAAAAAACTGAGGCCCTAAGGGTGCTGTAAACCGAGAAAAAAGATCTCTGGATAATAAAAATTAAGTGCTGAGAAATGATCAATAAGTTTAGTAATAAAAAGGTGTTTGTAACCTTAAAGCAAAATCAGGTAAATACCAATGTTTGGAGCAGCAGTGAGATGGTCAAGTTGAAGAATATGGGAGTGGGGCATTGTGACATTGAAGACAGCAATTATTTTTTTCCATTTTAGAGAGAGAAATGAAGGGAAGCTCAAAGATGGGTCAAGAATTCAGGGTGTGAAGAAGATAATTAAGATAGCAATGTGTTTTTATGCAGAGGAAAGTAATCGTGTGGAGACATGAAGTTTAGAGGGGAAAATATCCATGTTTCAGAGGGGAGGAAACAGAATTTGGGGTAATGAGGAGAACAGATAAAGATTTGAGGCAGAAAAGAGAGAAAATGAGAAGGTTTCTTCTGGATTGTCTCCAGCTTCTTCACAGCAAGACAGTGCTTCTCAAACTCTAATGTGTATACAAATCTCCTGAGAGTCTTGTTAAAATGCAGACTCTGATTCAGTCGATCTAGAGAAAAACCCGAGAATTTGCATTTCAGATGTATTCCCTGGTTATGCTGATGCTGCTGGTCCATGGACCACACTTTGAGTAGCAAGATCTAGAAAGCCAGGTTGTCAGCTAAGAGTTCCTAGAATACTACCTGGTATTTTAGTAGGTGCTCAATAAACACATGTTGGTTTGTGGCTGATAGAATAGCTTAGATGATGGTGTGTGGTCTGGGAGCAGAGAAGGGGGGAACAACCTATTTCTGAGAAGAGTAAAGAACACATTCAGGTGTTCTGGTTGGCGGTGGAGGGAAAGGGCGGGGACAAAGAGGAAGGCTAAGGGGATGCAGCAGACAGAAAACCTCTCCTGTGGAATCTCACGGGAGTGCAGTGCTGGCAATCTTACAGGTGCTGAAACTAAATCAAGATAATAGTCAGAGTTGAGTGGGTAGAAGGACCGTGAGATCCCAAACCTAGTGGCTCCATTAACCTGGAAATTGATGTTGCTGAGTATGTAGGTAGGAAATGGAAGGAAAGCAGTAACTGCACCAGGTGCTGGCATAATCAAGAAAATATTCTGGAAACAAGTGAGTAAGAAAAGATGAGAAGATAAACAGAAGTAGGAATGTCATTGAATTCAGAGGAGTTGCTGGCAGATTTGGGAGGGGCCTTAGAATGAGGAGCAGACCCACTGAGTCTCCCCAAATCTGGCAAAGCGTCCACGTCACCTGGGGAGATTTTGAGAATACAAATTCCCAGGTGCAACCCAAGACATTTGGAGTCCATAGACGTAGAATCATGCCATGGAATGCGTACTTTACAGAAGTTTCCCCCAGTGATTCTGATGTAGCAGCCAAGATCAGAGATCCCTGGACAACCCTCTGAATTATTTGGGGTGGGCAGAGGCAGAGACAACTCTTCTGGGGAAGGGAAGGTGCATGCTTCCAGCTAGAGTGGAGGTGCTATGGGAGTACCTGAGGAAATGGTCAGAGGTTTTTTACACTGGAATTGTACAGCTCCACAGTTTGATAAATGGCACTACAAAGCAGTAATATTTCCTCATTTCTTTAATTGTGAGGGTCATGATCAGGCAATCTCTTTTGAAAGACCAAACAGGTTTTCTGCTGGCCCAACCCCCAGTTACTGTTTGCTGGAATATAAGCCACTTCACAGATGAATGGATCCAATTTCATGTTAATTTTAAGTTAATGTAGGTTCTTTATTGAAATTCTGTAAGAATTTCTTCCTTGCCTCCTCTTATTCTCTTAGATAAGAAGGTAAGGGGTTTTATAAAACAGATTTTTAAATTATAATGAAAAGGTAGCGTGGAACAGTAGGAAAGACTATGAGAGGCCATGGAGCCTGATTGTCTGGGTCTGCACCCAGCTCTGTGGCCCTGAGCCGGTAACTTAACCTCCCTGTATCTCAGTTCCTTCATATATAAAATCAAGATAATAGCACTGACCTCACAGGGCTATCAAGTCAGTTCCAAATCATGGTGACCCCATGTGTTGCAGAGTAGAATGTGCTCCATAGGGTTTTCATGACTGTGATCATTTGGAAGCAGATTGTAGGCCTTTCTTTCGAGATGCCCTTGGATGGGCTTGAACAGCCAACCTTTTGATTAGCCGCCAAGTGCTTAACCATTTGCCCCATCCAGGGACTCTGCTCCAAAAGACATAAACATTGATAATGTCCTTTACAACCAAGAAAATGTTATTGTTGTCCTCAAGTTGGTTTTGACTCATAATGACCCTATGTACAACAGAAGGAAACACTACCCAGTCCTGTGCCATCCACACAATTGTTGCTATGTTTGAACCCATTACTGCAGCCACTGTGTCAACCCATCTTGTTAAGGGACTTCGTGTTTTTCGCTGACCCTCTGCTTTACCAAGCATGTTGTCATTCTCCGGGGGTTGATCCTTCTTAATAACACGTCCAAAGTATGTGAGACATAGTCTCGCCATCCTTGCCTCTAAGGAACATTCTGGCTGTATTTCTTCCAAGACAGATTTGTTTGTTCTTTTGGGAGTCCACGGTGTATTCAATATTCTTTGACAACACCGTAATTCAAAGGCATCAATTTCTTCTTTGGTCTTCCTTATTCATTGTCCTGCTTTCACATGCATATGAGGTGATTGCAAACACCAAAGTTCGAGTCACGTGCACCTTAGTCTTCAAGGTGGCATCTTTGCTTTTCAATACTTTAAAGAGGTCTTTTGCAGCAGATTTGCCCAATGCAATGCAGCTTTTGATTTCTTGACTGCTGCTTCCATGGGTGTTGATTGTGGATCCAAGTAAAATGAAATCCTTGAGAACTTTAATCTTTTCTCCATTTATCATGATATTGCTTATCGGTCCAGTTGTAAGGATTTTTGTTTTCTTTATGTTGAGGTGTAATCTGTACTTAAGGCTGTGGTCTTTGATCTTCATCAGTAAGTGCTTCAAGTCCTCTTCACTTTCAGCAAGGCAAGGTTGTGTCTTCTGCATAATGGAGGTTGTTAATGAGTCTTCCTCTTATCCTGAAGAAAATGTAGGTTCAGAAAATGTAGACCTCTTGCCCCAAATCACACATTTAGTAAGTCATAGAGTAGAGATTGGAACCTGAGTCCACACTGTAAATTGTTTTTGCACTGAGCCAAGCTTCAGTAACCAGCATAATAATCTAATGAATTCTCTGTAATTAAAAACAGATAGTAAGAATTTCATATTAAAACCTATAGGCTTAGATAATGTGATGATTTCAAATAATGTCCTCATTGACAATGTTAGTTGTCTGGCAACTTCAGCTATTTGTAAACATCAGTCACAGATTTCCTAAGCATAGGTACTGTTGTTTGGGGAGAGGGTGTTTGATTGTAATAATGTAAAACACCAAACTGACATTTTCTTTCCTCAGCTTATTCAGAAGTTGACAGATGTGGCAGAAGAGTGTCAGAACAATCAGTTAAAGAAGCTCAAAGAAATCTGTGAGAAGTAAGCTTTCATTGCCATTACAGTTTGACCTGTGGATATAAATTTATTAAATACAAATTACCATTTGATTTGCCATTTTGCCCCTTTTATTTCCATTTTGACTTTAGAGAGAAGAAGGAATTAAAGAAGAAAATGGATAAAAAGAGGCAAGAGAAGATAACAGAAGCCAAATCCAAAGACAGAAGCCAGATGGAAGAGTGAGTAAAAATAAAGTCCTCCTTCCTCCTTCCCCCTTTCACCTGGAGACTGTTTTATTCTGTCTGTAAGAGTAACAGGTTCCTAACCATACACAGACCTTTCTAACTCTCTAAAAATTAACCTTTCAAAAGATCCCTTTGTAAGGTTTTTTAACAGTGAACTGTCAAACAAAGGGAAGTTCAGAAAGGATTGAGGCTCACCCAGGGCCTTTCAATAAAGACTGAGTAAAGAGTTTCCCTTTGGGAAAGGCCAAACCTTCACCTCATATATTGTCAGGGAGCCTTCCTGCGTTTAGTGAAAACAGGGCTTGCACCTGCAGTGGAACCCGACCTTTGCCCACAGCTGGGATTGTACCTCACATACTGCACTAGTAAGAACGTTGAGAGGTCTATAAACTTTTGTCTGGAAGTCTGAGATTTCCCGTGCTTGAGGTTGCCAGATGGGTTCCTGTCGTGATCTCTTCCTCCTGTGCTTTTAGGGAGAAGACAGAGATGATCCGGTCATACATCCAAGAGGTGGTGCAGTACATCAAGAGGGTACGTTGGTTAATCGCTCTCCTTTGCAGACTCTGGATGAATGTTTGAGGAGGGCATTATGAGCTTCTGGAAGGCAACACCAAGCCTGCCTGTGTACCTTATCTCCAGCACATGGCAGAGCTGCTTCCAGAGCAGGCACTCCATAATAAATGTGTCTGCTGGTTCAATTGCAAACCACTGTCTAAAAGGGTTCAATTAAAGATAGATAGTCAAGATTAATTTCAAAAGTCAGGAGCCCAGAAACATGACATCATATGGAAGTTTTCCAGAAAGACCTTTAGTTGTCCTCAGTGATTGAAGATGGCAACCTCCAAAGGCAGTCTTTTTTATTTTTTAATTTGGTATGATGGAAATTCTCAAACATTTACAAAAATGGAAGAGGAGTATATTTCATTGACCATCTTCCCACCCCCCATGTACTAATCACCAAGCTTCAAGACTTATCAATAGTCTCCTATACTTGTAAGGACAGTGCTTGACCAGGATTTGAAATAATTCAAAATAAACCACAGATCTGAAAAACTTCCAGTTTTTTCTGAAAACTCATGCTTGAATGTTTACATGAACGTGACTCTTTTCCTTTTGATTTTTTTTATAGTTAGAAGAGGCACAAAGTAAACGGCAAGAAAAACTTGTAGAGAAACACAAGGAGATCCGTCAGCAGATCCTGGAAGAAAAACCCAAGGTAAACGGAATTGAATAATAATACACAATACTTTTGTTTTATTTCTAGTCAACAAGAGTAAAACCTTCTTGGTTCATGTAAGTGCCTCGCACAGTCTCAGATCAGTTGTCACATATCAGACTCATGAATCTTTCTCAATGACGGTAAAAATCTTTATTGCAATATTTCATAAGCATTTATCATCAACTGGTGAGATTTTAAAAACTGTAAATTCACAGACCTGACCTACAGAGATTTGGTTTCAATTGGTCAAGTGTGGAGCCCAGGCTTAGATATTTTTAAAATGCTCGCTCAACCTCGCGGGTGATTCCAATGTGCAGAATGGAGCTCAGTGAGAGACTAACCAAGTCTCTTTAGCTCCAAATATCTGATTGTTGTAATGTCAGACTCTTTCCAGCAGAGGGTGCCCTGCATCAAAACTGTTCTGAATTTGAGCCAGCAAAATAGTCCCATAAACCATAAAATAGCAATTTTTTTTTCCTGTAACAATAGTTTAGTGGAACTGCACTTTAAAATTACCTTATGCTCATTGTTTGGTAATAAATCAATGATCAATGGTTTCATGAATGTTAACTTTGAATGAACTGAATCAATATACTTCCAAGTTAGCGTACAACATGTCAATTTTAGAGCATTCCATCCATTTTGATTCATCACAGATTATTTTTCTGTTTGAGAAGAAGGTGCTTTTCAGTTTTCTTTCTATCTGAAGTTTAAAACATCTACTCTAAAAGATACTGTCATTCCGTAAAGTCCTTTATTAAGCCCACGAATCTCAGAAGTGTTCATTTTTATTTCATTGTATATTCCATTCAGCAATTTACTTCTTATAGACTTCTTCTAGCTAATTCTAAATGTATTTTCCTGGTTATTTCTGCTCTTTTGCTTTCATATTTATTGTGTAGACAAGATATTTATTTAAAATTTTTGATTCTTATAGTTTTCAGTGTTGGCAATATAGATTCTTAAGCAATAATAAAAATCCAGGAATTAATAATTATTAAAATCTGCTACTAATTTTAATGTTTCTCATATAAGATACAATTTAAGTATTGTTTGCCATTCTCCGAGGTTGATCATGCATTAGTAAGGTAGAATAAATTTTACATTATTTCCAAACTTGCTATACTTTCCATTCCGGTTTGGTCGCTCTTTTTAAAATGCTGAGTGTTTGGAGCAAAAGACCCAGGTTCTACTGAAATTTAAGAAACACCTTAAAATAATCAGACCCAAGTGATATATTAAGATTCACGCATTTTCAATCTATGCTATTTGAATTCAAATTTGTACACTGACATAATATAAATTGCTTGTGGTTAATATCTCATTAGCCAGTGTTTGTATTTCTTAAAAAAAAAAAAAAAATCTCTCTTGGGAAATGTTGTTTTCACATGGAGTTTATTTTGCTTTGTTTTTAGTCCAGCAATGCCAACTATTTTACTCATAGGTAAAACACAATTACACATGTTGTTTACATTAAATAACTCTTAGTATACATGACCTTGACAATGATTTTTATGATTGAAATCAATTGTAGTAAGTGAAGAAGCACCGTCAGACTTCTGCACTGGAAATAACTACAGGTTGTTGGTGGTGGTGGTGGTTGCTATCAAGTCAGTTCTAACTCATAGGGACCCTGTGTACAAAAGAACAAACCCTGCCCAGTCCTGTGCCATCTTCACAATGCTTACTATGTTTGAGCCCATTACTGCAGCCACTGTGTCAGTCTATCTCACTGAGGGTCTTCCTCTTTTTGCTGACCCTCTACCTTGCCAAGCATGATTCTTTCTCCAGGGACTGGTCCCTCCTGATAACATGTCCAAAGTACTTGAGAAAAAGTCTCGCCTTCCTCGCTTCCAGGGAGCACTCTGGCTGTATTTCTTCCAAGATAGATTTGTTAGTTTTTCTGGCAGTCCGTGGTATATTCAATATTCATTGCCAACACCATAATTCAAATGCATCAATTCTCCTTTAGTCTTCCTTATTCGTTGTCCAGCTTTCGCACGCATATGAAAAAAAAAAAAACCTGTTGCCGTCCAGTCGATTCCAGCCTTATATGAGGTAATGGAAAATACCATAGCTTGGGTCAGGCGCACTTTAGTCCTCAAAGTGACATCTTTGCTTTTGAACACTTTAAAGAGGTCTTTTGCAGCAGATGTGCCCAATGCAATATGTTGCTTGATTTCTTGACTGCTGTTTCCATGGGTATTGAAAAACTGATAACTTTTGACTATTTTAGCAGCCGGGTGCATTCAGCTGCAATTTTACAGAAAACTCAGTTAAAACTGGCTTAAACCAAACCAAACCCATTGCTGTCAAGTCAATTCTAACTCATAGCGACCCTATAGGACACAGTAGAACTGCCCCATAGAGTTTCCAAGGAGTGGCTGGTAGATTTGAACTGCCGACCTTTTGGTTAGCAGCCAAACTGCTAACCAGTTTGGGCTGCTCCGAAACTGGTTTAATCAGTCATAATATTTAGTAAGTTACAGTACTGGAAATTCATAAGTGTGGCAGTTCCAGGAATGGTTAATTTAGTGGCTCCGTGGCTCCACAGCTTCATCATGGATCCTCATCAAGGATTCAGAATTTCCACTGTGGCATTTCAACTTGTTGCGTTTCATTCCAAGGCTGTGAACTCGTGGTCACAAAATGGATGCCATAGCTCCGTGCCTCATAACCTTACATAAAACCATTCAAAGGTAGAAGGGAATGTCTCTATCTCTTGATGCAGTTTGAGATTGAGGAAAACCTTCCAAAATAACCCCCAACAGATATTCCCTGGTCAGCTAAGGTTGTATCACGTGCCCATTTCTAAACTGATCATAGACATGGAACAGAAATTTTCATGATTGGCTTAGAGTAATTAAGATTCACTCACAGGGGTAGAGTTCAGCTTCCCCTGAATCCCACAGTCACCAGGTACCTGAACAAAACTGATGTTTTCTTATCAAAGGAAAAGGGAAAATAGCAGTTGGGTAAGTAATTAACAGTATATACCGCAACCGTAATATGACAATCTCTACTTCTTTTTTTTATAGCCCCTTAGAAAGAGTTCTTATGTGTTTATGAATTTTTAGTATTTCTGTGTTGTCATTTTTGCCTATAAATAGATAACCACGATGAATTTTCCTTTGCTTTTCATCCATGAGGTTGATCTTATGACTGTCTTCTTGTGTCTGGATTTAAAGGTTGCTCTCAAAGATTGTTGGTTCCAGGTCAAACTAAAACATTTATTGAAGGCTGTTCTTCAGGGCTTAAAATTTTTGTATTTTGTAAACATGACTTTAATAGTAAGATAAAAAATAGTGTCCAAATAGGACAGTTTTCTAACTAGAAACCAATTTATGGCTAATCATTGGCATGCAAAAAATATATAACTATGTGGCATCGTGTTATTCAAATTCTTCAGTTTTTCTCAGAATATTGTTGAATATCATAATTTATATAATACAATAATGTGTTTTATGTCCTTAATCGCCTCATTAACAGGGGAGAAGCTCTTTTCACATTAGTATCCCCCAGTGTTACTATTTTGAGCTGTTCTGAATCCCAGTTGCATCTGCATAATTTTCCAAGCCTTTGATAACCTAACAGCTCTTTTAAAAATGAACAAATAGGTATAAAAAAATTAACAGAAGAAATTCAAAAAGCCAATTTTTAAAGGACAAACAGTTCTTCGGTGGCAAGGAGGAGTTTTGGCTAGATTTAGAACAAGCTATGTAAGAGGATTAGGAGCCCTGGTGGCACCATGGTTAAAGCACTCGGTTTCTAACCCAAAGGTCAGCAGTTCGAACCCACCAGCTACTCCACAGGAGAAAGATGTGGCAGTCTGCTTTGGTTAAGACTTACAGCCTTGGAAACCCTATAAGGCAGTTCTACACTGTCCTATAGGGTCGCCATGACCCTATGCATCGGAATCGACTCAATGGCAGTGGATTTGGTTTTGGTTTCATGTATAAGAGGATTAATTAAAAGTGTAATTTAGCCAACCCTTTACTTATGCGCTTATGATCTGGAAGATCAGTGCAACTTCTCAATATTTGTACCATTCTGAAACAAAACAGCCATAGGAGAATTTGTCTCAATCAACCAAAAACCAGTTGCCAACTTGAGTAGTCGTGGTAACTCCATGTGTGTCAGAGTAGAACTTTTCTCCATAGGGTTTTCAATGGTTGATTTTTCAGAAGTAGATTGCCAGGCCTTTCTTCCAAGGTACCTCTGGGTAGACTCAAACCACTGAATTTTCAGTTAGCAGCCGAGCGTGTTCACCATTTACACTATCCAGTAACTTCACCTCAGTTAAAACCAGGTTAAAATCCACTTCATTTTCCGCACATGGACCAGCAACTTCAGTCTTGCTGGTCTGTATTTGGTAGGGGACAAAATTTGGCCAGCCACAATGTGAAAGTTTATTTTAGAATGCCCCGCTTTGTGACAGGCACCAGGCCTTTTTGATAGTTAAGAGTTTATGTTTTTCCCATTAAAAGTCAATGAGACTATTCCTTTGTATGTAGATTTGAAGGGATGGGGGGCGGGAATGAAGTTATGTGGTCCCTAAAGGCAACTTGGTAAATATTCTGGCCTGCAATTGCATGTGAAATCACATTGTGCATATTACTTTCAGTCCGTAAGGCTATACTGTTATCAGTTTTGGTCAAAGTGTGTCTTTTTGTGAAACGTATAGCTGCAGAGTTCTTAAGATGGATGCAATAAACCCTGGCCAATCTTTCAAATCAGTGAGGTAATTGGTTTCCTTGGGGTTTCCAAACCTGGGTTTGCCAAAGCCAATAGCCAAGGGTTTATGAGTGATGAAGTGTTTTAAAAAACATCAATAACTCAGAACCCAACCATCAATGCAGTGAAAGCATACCTTTTGTAGATGCCTTCAACAGCACAGTGATTCATTATGAAAAGAATCCTCTGCCTTTTTCCTGAACACTTCAAAGAAATTTATTTTAACATGTTGAAACATCGTTAATCAGGAGGTGCCCTGAATC